TTGTGTCTGACCAGACAGTTTGGACATACCTTCAGGGTAGATCCACCTGAATGTTGTTATTGTGTTATATAATGAGTTAAACCCCAAATCACTTATAGCATCAACTGTGAAACTATTTGGTGTCGGCAGTCTGTTATAGAAATAGGTTGTCCACAGAGCCCATGGAGTCTCCATCCTTGGAAGTTTTTGAAACCTGACCATGAGTAACCTGGTCTGAAATCAGTCTTGACTGTGATTTGAGCAGGTGATTGGATTAGAGACCAGCTAGTCCCTTTCAACATGAACTGTGAGTCTGTATTATTTTCTTGCCATTGTCACATTTATTTAAAACTTGGAACTGCCAGTGATACAAAACATCAGGTGTTCTTGAACATTTGGCAGCTTCAGCTAAGTGAGTTTTGTGAATTTCTGGAAATTTGTACTGGCCAACAAAATTTGGACGAGTTCTCAAATAAGAATCCTGGGGTAACTCCACCATTGAAGCAGCAGTGATCATAATCCAGCAGGCTGTCTTTTGCCCATTGCAGTTTTAAGGTGTTAGCTTTTGTGATTCCAGATGGTAAATTACTGACATAAATTGAATGATCCAAAGTATGAACAGAAAGTAGAAATTCAAAACATACCTTGACACTTCTCATTTTTAAGCACATTGCAGGTGGGAAGAGTTGACCTATTATTTTTTGAGGGTGATGTTGATAACACTGGCATCCTTCCCTGACCTGCTTTCAGAAATGAGAGGAAATGTGACATATGAGGCCAGGATGCACCCATTCTTAGGGTAGCAGTGCAGAGAGCCCAGTCTGCTGTGTCAGATCATCTCTGCTGGCATTTCCTGCAGCTTTCAGTCATTCTGAAACTGCCTCCAAATATTTTCTATTTAGTGGCATAATACACATTGACTGCAGTGTAGATGCACCAGCTCTCAAACCTATATCACAAACCTATTTACCTGTGAGTAAAACATTTAAATTATGTTTTCAAATCATTAAAATTTATGTTTTCTTTTTGCGTAAACAAAATATCCATCTATCAGTTGAAGAGGAGAATATGATCAGAATAGAATTGGTGTGTGGAGAATTATGTCTTTCACATGTACCCTGGTTTTCAATGAGGAAATAAATGCTGGCATTTCACTTCTCATTAGGAATCAAAACATCAACTGTTACTGTTTTGTATTATTTTCTTCAGAGCATACATTACTTGGCTTCTGAAAATTGGTTGTTTGGGGTTGGTTTTTTTCCTTGCCTGGCGTTATAGAAAACACCCTTCTTCCAAACAACATAAGTACAATAATGCAAAATCAGCTTGAGAGAAAAGGCAATGGTGCATACAAAGATGCTGCTCATGGAATGTCTATCCCAAATTCTTATTACATCCTCACAGTCATGAATAAACAAACTCTTGCAATTACTTGCAGCTAATGTTACCCTGACAACAGTGTGTATATATAACAAAATTCAGTAATCACTGCCAACAAAACCCCCAGTACAGCTAATGCCTCTGTTTGCCAGGATGAAATCTTTTCATTAAGGATTAAATCAACTCCAGATCATAAGTTCTGCCTTCAGTATTAGGATCAAAAGTAATTATTCATTCCAGTATATGGAGATAAGTTTGGTTTGAGTTCCCTGTTTATCAAATAGTGGTATGTAAAGGGAGAAGCTGTGTCTCTCTTTACCAGTTAGGTAGTGATAAATCACTTGGCATTGTTCTGGCAAGCACAGTCTGTCTCTGATGCTTTTTGGTGCAAGTTTCTCCTCACTCAATTTTGCCAGTTCTGCGCATGCTACTGATCAGTATATTTACAGTTGAGGAACAGCAGCCTCCTGGGACAACTGCAGGAATCCAAATTGGAAATATTTTTTGATTTAACTTACTAAGAAATAGAAATTGTGGAATCCAGTACTTAAATGCAACAGTTCACATCCTGGTGTAAATAGGGTTCTACTTCAAAATGCCAATAAAGTATATATAATTTTAAATAAATAAATTACTGGTCTGTTGCCTCTTCTGAGCTCTGATCTGTTCTGTAACTGCTGTTGTAGTCTCTGTGATCATTACATTCTCTTGACACCCAGTTTTAGTTTCAAGTTAAATTTACTTTTAAGGAATCTTAGATTCCTTGACAAAGACTCAGAATTTTTCCAGTTCAGGGGAAGTCCTGCCAAGTTTAAAATTTTTCTGTACATTCAAATGTTTGTGTTTAGTGCTTTCTAAGACAGAGACCACTGAATCTGCAGTATTTCTGAACACCAACACCTGCTAAATACTAAAAGCAAACATTAGTTAAGTGCACAAATGGTTTGTAAAAACAGTAACTTCCTTCTAGGAGTGAATATTTATTTTAATTTACATATGTTAAACCAATTGATTTTATTAACCAGTGCTTCAGTTGACCAATTGAGTTGGAAAAAGCAGGACCAACCTAGGACTCTTGTAGATTTTATCAAAAATGTTGGTCAAGAAAATGATGGCTGCTCATCCTTCCTTCTTCAAGAATACAATTTCTAGAAAGACGGCAATAATGCCCTTCCCTATTTCTTCTGTTTACTGAAACTTAAATATGTGCTCTGCTCAATACGTATTTATTAATATTAAAATACAAAACAAATCAAACTAACTTGCTCTTATACAACTTTACACATTTCTAAACTGAATTCCAGTTTTAGTGGTGTGAAGTTTGATGCACTTCCAAGTGAGTGCACTTCCAAATTTCCAAGAAATTTGTAGATGAAATAATATTTTGTCAACAGTCAGCAGAAATGTAAGATATAAGGGTTTGGGGGTTTTTTTTGAGTGTACAGGACAGCTTGAACTTACTAGGTTTGTTTCTCCTGGCTTTGAAAGTTGCTTGTGATCAATTTATAGCAGCAGAGCTTTTAATACTGAAAGCAATTATTTTATTGCCCAGAGAAGTTGTGGATGCTCCATCCCTGGAAGTGTTCAAGGCCAGGTTGGATGGGACTCTGAACAACCTGATCTAGTGGAAGGTGTGCTTGCCCATGGCAGAGGGATTGGAACTAGATGATCTTAAAGGTCCCTTCCAGCCCAAATCATTCTGTGATTCTCTAGTTTTGATATTCTGTTTTCTTAGTAGAATTACTGCTAAAATTTGCTATTTATTTAAAACAAAAGTTATTATTGGGTTAATGCCCTCTACAAATAAATACTAGATTTCATTTCCCCTTGAATTTTAGTAACAGAAGCTGTTGTTCTGCAAAATTAGTTCAATGACCAGCATTCTGTAGTAGCAAACCCTTAATAGAGGAGCTTGCATGTTTACTTCTTGTCTGCAGTTGTGTTTCCTCCATCTGTGTTCATTTGATGGGAAGGAGGTGCGAGAACCTTGCAAAACAGTTGATAATACCAGTGCTGACAGCTGTGTACTGTGCTTGTACAGGTGTCTGACTGGACTGGTACAGATCTCTAACTGGTTTGAGGTGCTGGTGCTGGGGAGGTTCAGTGGAAATTATTTTGGGTTTGAGGTCACAGTCTCAGTGCCCTTCTGGTGAGGAAAGTGTGATTGGCATTTCTGCCCAGCTGAAACAGGGAGTCTAGCAGAAAATCTAGCAGTGTCTCATTCTTTAAATTTCATACTTTGGATGGACAAGAAACTCTCAGTGAAAGGGGTATTACTTCTGGAGGAAGCCTTTTCAGTAACACCCCCTAAATACAAAGCAGCAACATGACTGTTCTTCAGTACAGCTGTTTCTTCATTATTGTAGCAGTTAATGGTTTTTTGCTGAGAGGTTTTCAGGCATTCTTGGTTAGACTTCATAAAGAAATTTTCAGTTTCCAGTTCAGACTTCTGTACCTCTGTGTGGTTGTAAGGTTTGATTTCTTTGTGTTAGCATCTGAAATACACCATTAAGATAGTGACCCCTCTTGCAGGAATTCTGTTTGGCTTATAACTTACTAGCTTAATCATAATGTAAGGTGAGGAAAAACAGGAGTCTGGGCTGAATTACAAGTAGTAGTTCTGTGATGTTTTATTCAGTTGCAGATAGGAAAAAATACACATATTGGAAAACTTTGGTCTTTTTAGTCTAACAGTGTTTGTGATGAGGCAAAGAGCAGCAATCCTTTTGTACTTAGTCTGAAGAGTAAACTGCTGCTGTGCTTGTGCAAACTCATCCTTGTGCACTTTGCTTGCACTTACACCACTGGTTTTCATTATTGATCTGGTCTTCAGAGTAGTGACTTGTAACAAACGTTCTACCTAAACAATGAACCACATGCTGTGATGTGCTAGAAATAAATGAAGTATTCTGGATGGGATCTGGAGAAGAGAAAACTGATGGATCTACAGATATAGTGGAATTTATCCACCAAATACTTTGAGAAATGTGGGACCACCAGAACAAAATAAGTTAGTTAATCACTTGACATCTTTCTAGACTGCAGCCCTTCCTTCACTACTTGGTCTAATTGAGATCTGGTGAATGTTGCTTAGCAGAAAAGACAGTTCAAAGTAAAAACCTTAAATTAGCCACAGATCTTGTGGGAAATGGTTTTGCTGCTGTTGAGTAGAGACGGCTATCTCTTGAGATTGGGTTGTTAAAGCCTTAGCTGGTACTAGCTGAAATAAAAAGTAAAGCTGCACTCCACTTAGAAGAGAATTAATCTAGTGTCTGCAGGGTAGGACAGATTGTCCATGGGGTTTAGCAGTAATGAGTGAGCTCTCCCTTTCACATGGTCCTTCACTGATTCACAAAACCCTAAAGAAAGGGAGGGAAATCCTTCTGAAAGACCACTTTGCTCTATGTTCTTACTAGCAACAAGGCAGAAGCATTCATGCAATTGAACTTCTAAAAAAAATTTAATTGTTAATTAAACAGTGTAATTAGCTTTTTCCCCCCTCTGTAGTTTTAATAGTTGAAAAAGAAAATCTGCTATTGCTCTGGGTATGCAATGAATACTTTTAAATACTCCAGTTTATGAGTTGGCTTGCAATGTTTCTCTTTGTAATTGACTTTTCTTTTTTCTTTTTTGTTAAACAGCAAAACCATTTACAAAATTGGTAAAAGAAATGCAACTCCATCGAGATGACTTTGAAATTATAAAAGTGATCGGAAGAGGTGCATTTGGAGAGGTAAGAGATTTTAACTTTCAGTTGTAATAATAAAACTCATCAGTTGTGCATCTGATTTCTTTTTACAGTTGACTTTAGGACAAAAGGTTCACACAGATATGCTAAAATACTTCCAAACATGGAATATAGCTAGGTACCTAATGCAAGGTCCCTTTGAAACAGGTTATTCAGTGTCCAGGTGTGCCATTTCTGTGACTGGCTTTCTGACTTCAGTGTAGCTAAGCAAGTGTCTCTTGGATGACTGAATGAGCAGGATGGTCCCACCTAGCAGCTGCACAGCTGAATTTGGGATCCCTTCTCCACTTGCCATATGTAGTGCTCACTGCTGCTCTAATTTAACACAGAGCTGGGCTGCTGCTGGTAGGAGCGTGGAGGCTGCTCCACCCATCTGCCTGTCTCTGTAGCAATCTGGTAATGCAGAAAGACGCATTTGGCCGCCTCAAAGGCTGTTCCCTGTCATCTTTGAAGATCAAAGGCTGCTGGATCTGTTTTTTGGACAGCAAGTTGAATCATGCTGGGATGATAGGAACGCCTTGTGTTTTGAGGACTCGCCAGTCCCAGGACCCTGGACTGAAGCTTAACTTCTTAATATGTTTGATGAAAGTCTCATCAATCACACAAGCCTGGTAGGGCTTGCCACTGGCAAAAGCATTCACAGACAGCAGGCATAGGATACCCAAGGCTTTGGGAGGACCTCAAAGACAACCTTTTCAGCATTTAAGAACAGGTAACTAAAGTCATAGCTGTCAGCAAAAAAGGTTATTAACTAGAGAATTTCTAGAAGTAAAAAAACTTTCTATTTCTTTCAGGAAACCTTTTTGAAGTAGTGCCACACTAAAGTGAAATGCAGAGACTGCCATTAGTGGCTGACTTCAGCCCATGAGCACTCAGCTGCACCTTCTGCTGCCGGTGGCTAAGGAGAAGCTTCCTGATCCCCATTCCTGTTGTCTCCACAGAGAGCAGGACTCTGCCCTGCCAGGCATTCCTTCCAAGCCTGGTGTGCTCTGGACACCTCAAACTCTTTCATGTAGGGTTTGAATGTGGGACAGCGTAGCAGAGGGCAATCAGAAACTCAGCTAGAGAAACACCAGGACCCTACTTGCCCTGACTTCAGAAAACAAAGAGGTTTCTGTGTGCATATGCACTTGGTAGTGGGTGAAGTAATGACTTTATATCCATGTCATTTTAAGTTATTTCAGAATCTGCTTTTGAGAAAAGTGGTCACCTAAGACAGAAATTAATGTTTCAAGAATATCTCTTCTTCTATGTGTTTCATAGTCTTCATGTGTACCATCATCTAATGTAACATGTAGTTTATATGTAGTTTACATGTAATCATCATGAACACAGCTGCTGAAGGAGCATTTTAATAAAATGTCCAGATTAGCAATAACATCTTGCCCTGTAAGACAGAAGTTCACTTTCTAGTGGATGTTAAACTTGATGAGTGCAATATTTGTTACAAAAAAGGAAGTGTTATCTGAGAGTAATGGAAATACTGCATGAATATCACTTACTTCATTTGAGTGATTCACTTGAGTATTATTTGAACATGAATTTTAGAGAAAAAGAAGTTACTGTAAAAAGTTTGTCAGGAAAAAGCAATAATTGGAAATACATTGGTTAGTCTAAGGGAGGACTGAGAGCTACAAACTTAGTCCAGAAAAGAAGTCTAAGGAGGAAGATTTATGAGTAGATAAAAGGCCTAAAGAATTAAGACAGTAGTGGGTACCTGTCTGCCTCTCTGTTAGGGTTTTGATTCAAAGCAGTGGCAGAGTTTTAAATGCCCTCACCAACTGCATGAGAATTTTAATCTCCATGAGCTGGGTTTCTTCTGGAGGAAACTAACCAAAACCTCCATTCCAGGTGTGCACCAAATGGCCTTTTGGATCCAAGGAGTGCATAAGAATCAATCACTGGGTTTGACTCTCCTAACAGCTTCAAAGCATGTTTGGTCCAGGAAATCAGGGTAGATACAGTCAGAAACAAAATTCCTGAGCTGCATACAGTATAGATGGGAAGGCTCAGCACAGGATACTTTGATGTTGTTCTGCTCTTGCTGTGCCAAATGACTTGCTATAGTGGCTGTGACCACTGATATCTAAAGAATTTTAGATTAGCATTTTGGCAGTTTGTCTTTTGGCAGGATTAGAAAAGGTTTCTGGATCTTTTCAGAACTAGGCTTGTGATTGCTTTGGCTATCAAGAATGGGAGCCCTTTATAGTGACTTGCAGATGGAGTCAGCGTTGGGAATGCCTTCCCACAGTACAATATTCAAGGAAGGCTTGTTTTCCATAGTACTTGTTCTGTTCTTTTTCAAAAGATGCTCTTCTCTACTTAAAGAATTGACCAGCTGGAAATCTCAGTACAACAGCAGATGAAGTATTTATATGCATTTCAAGAGACTTCAGTTTATATTTGGTGGGATGACCTTTCTTAGCTTTGGATCAAAGTCTTAAGGTGCATGAAAGATACAAATGCTGAGTGGAAACTTGTGTTAATAGTGTTTGGAGTGCCAGAATCAACAATGTGTTTCATACTCTTACATTTGGAAAAGTATGGATCTTTACAAAAGCAATTCACACATCCCAGCCCCCCCAGTGGAAATGAAATTTCGCAGAAGTGAAATGAGAAATATCTTCATTTCATCCTTCTGTTGGAGGTGTGAGTGCTCACAGAGTCAGTGGTGTCAGTTACCTGTCAATATCACATCTTGTTCATCTCTTATCTGGAAACGTTTTCATTTATAGTTGCAGCAGCTTGAAACTTTTGATCAGTTTAAATTATACAGGAATCATTGATTTTAAGTTCATTATACTTTAGTCCCTCTTGCCACAGAATATTTTGTGCTTTTTGCTTATGAAAGAATCCTTTGACCCTTGTATATACCACACTGCTATAACTGCCAGATTTTATAGGTATTATAAAATAGTAATTATGTAAAGGTTGACATTCCATAATAAGAAAATGAAATGTAGTTTCTTGAAAGGAACTGGTGGCATCTGACTTGTATAAAACAACACTTGAGAAAGCTGAATGGAGGAGTTGTGAGTAATTTTTCCATAATACTTTCATACATACATGGGAACTATGTTGGAAATTACTTGATGGGCTTTATGTGCTAAAAATACATTCTAAGAATACCTATAAAATATTTGTTTAAATATATAAATAAATTATTCAGAATTAAACTAAACATATTCCTGTTAGAATGAAGTAGTTTAATTTAAATACTGAACAGCTAAACAAGGTAGACTTCAAAAAGGATGAAAATTACATTCCATTCTTCTCAGTTTAGCTTCTTTGGGTTTTTTGGAGAATGCCAGGGGCTTTATTCTTCCCAAAGAACTTTTGCATAAATCAGTAGCTTTGAAGAAATACAGTTCAAACAAAATAAAAGCATGATATTAGTTACTAGTCAGGATCAGTGGTCAATTTTTGCCAGAAAAGATGTAAGCCAAGGAAGGAAACGTGGTATTTGACCAAAAAGAGGATTGAGAGCACATGGGAGCTTTTATCCCTGTGAACACAACTGCAAAATCAGTATCTAAGGCAGATTGATATAATCGCCAGAACACATCTGTACTGGCATGTCAATACCTTTTTCTTTCTTTCTCCTTTGCAGAACTCAGCTTGGTTCTTTACACTTTTTCCAGCAATATGAGAACATAACCCAATGCAAAACCATCTTAATGAAAGTTCTTGTAGCATGGCATGTCTGAGAAAGCAAGAGAAAAATGTTTGTTAAATTGTCATTATTATGCTAGGAGAGAAACAGCCTAGCTTAGAGTCTAGAGATTTCCTCTGTAGCCACCTGGACTTCTCCTTTCACATAAAGGAAGCCAGCCACTTTGCAGTCAGGGAGAACTGAATGTCTGCATATTTCTTACAGCAGCATGTAAGGCTCTGACTCAGGAAGTCACTGGCTTGAGAATGTCATTTATTTTTTTCAGAAGTTTCATAGTTAGGAAGAAAAGCTTTACACGGTATTTGAGTGTGTGACAGTTATAATAGCTTATAATTTGAAATGCTAGAAGGAGGATAAAGTGCTCATGGTTCTTCCTCATCTCTAGGCTGTACTTGCCTGGGTATATACCCATACCCAGCTGAGTGCCCCAGTGTTACTTTTAGTCTTTCATTTTCTGGGTCATACAGGCAGGTACCTCTTGTACAGAGGGACAACCTCCACAGGGAGCAAAACTAATAATAAGTGAAGAGCCCCCTGAAATAAATTCAGAAGTAAAATGGTTTTCTGTTATCTTAATTCTGGTTTCTATTAATAAAATGACTGTAGAAATCTGTGTTTGTAGACAAGAAAGAGTATTTTGTGTAGCACGAAGTATTTTGTGGCCTACACAGAAAACACACGAACTACACAAGAGTAAAAATCACTTCTGCAAACTACACAGAAGTGAAAATACAATCTTTAGGAGATTTAAGGAATATCAGCGTAGAATGCAAAACTTTCAGATTTTCAATCTTTAGAAAACCACACCAAAGCAACAAAGAAACCAAAAAGCAGTTGAGCTGTGGTTTGAAGTTTGCCTGTGCCTGACTATTCCTTTCATGTAGAAACACCATGGACCGTTACATGAAATGAAAGGATGTCCTGAGAACCTGGGCTTGGTGGGATGGTGCTTACTGGGAATCTCAGGCCAGCCTGAGAAGTGCTTCCTGTGTGTTTGGTGTTTGGCTGCACATGCCACATGAACTGGGAGCAATGGTGCTTACAGCAAGCAGGCTGAGAGGGATAGGAAGAGGACACTGTATGGGGACTGTGGCTCTAAACACTTGCATGTGCTTCTTTGCAAGGTTCATCTGCCTTCAATAATGTGCTTGTATGTCTTTAAGGTCACATGTCCTGATTTTGTGTAAATGACCATTTAGGCACACTGCTGTAGACAAACACTCCAGTCAAAGAGCAGTTGTTGAAGGAAGAATGAGTCAAAATATACCTTGTTTGAGAACTTGGATTGTATAACGTGGCTGACACCTCCTGG